CAGTGAAAAGGCCTGGTGCATGAAAGCCACACGAGACTAACATGTGTTCAGATACCCAGAAACCACTTAAAAATCCAGATGCCTTGGGACAAGTCTGTAACCTCAGTGTTCCTACAATAAGACAGGAGTCATAGAGACAAGAGAATTGCCTGGAAGCTCCCAGGCCAGCTAGCGGGGAGCATCATCCAATAGAAACGAGAGACACTGCCTCAAAATCAAAGTGAGGGTCAGAGAGATGGCTCAAAGGATAATGTGTCTTCTCTGAAGCTCAGCAACCCAAGTTCAGTTCCTAGATCCTACATGGCAGAGAGAGAGAGCTAGCTGTAAGTTGTCCTCTGACCTCCACAAGCATGCCATGGCATGTGTGTGCCCACATTCACACACACACACACCGAGACACACAGTTTATTTTTAAAGCAATCCCTCAGTCTACAAGCCTAAACTGACTGGGAGAGAAAATGCCTTTTGTGAAGCTGCCCTGCTGTGGACTCTTGTGTGCTGATCTTTGGGTCCAGAAATCAATATTTGTGTCCTAAACACCCGAAGTAACAGGCACCAACATCTACCGCAGCTCTCTAGCCCAAAGACTCATGACATCATTGACAACTCCCAGTTATTTCCTTGGCAGGCCCAGCCTCCTGATTGTAGCAGTTTATTGGGGGGCCCTGCAGCTTCCTCCTCCTCACCTGTCTGCTCTGGCACTTACTTTATTTAGTGATTCTGGAACCACCAGGGTCCGTTGTTATTGTTATTGTTGATACTGGACCCTTGCTGTGTAGCCCAATCTGACCTTGAATTTGTGATCCTTCTACCTCATGATCAAAAAATCCTGGGCTTATAGGTGTGGCCCACTAGGGAGATTTCTTTCTTAAAAGTGTTATTTGAATGGAGTTTCTTCTGTGCAAAACTGTCTCCTCATTTCTGCCCCAACTCTTGCAAAGAAATATGGGTGCTCTGAGACTTGCTGTGTGCTGGCTGACACCAACACTCCTCACCCTGTTTCCTGATGCCCGTGGCTCAGAGGCTTGTCTGAGTGAGCAATTCACATCCAATCATATGGATGTTTAGGGAGTGAGGAGCAAGATGTGGTTCAGCAATGAAGAAGGTTGGAGTGGAGTCGGTTTCTTCATAGTGCCATTTGCCCAAACTTCCCACCAGGGGGCACTCAGGAGACTCTCGGGTACTTCTGGAAGCTGGCTGTTCCCTTGTCATCTTGGGTCTTGGCCTTGAGCCTTTCAGTTTTTCATTTGCTTTGTTTGAGGCAAAGTCTCTTGTAGACGACCAGGCTGGCCTTGAACTTGCTATATAGTCAGAGGATGACCTTGAACTCCTGGTCCTCCTGCCTCCTTCCAAGTGCTGAGATTATAGCAGTGTGCCACCATGCCAGGGTGCCCTTAGTAATGCATCTCTCAACTAGATCAGGCGCTGTTTGGGTCAGTCGCTATGTGACATATCAAAGCGATCACTCTCCACAGACTCCTGTGAAAGCACACACACACAGAGGCACACACACACACACACACACACACACACAGACACGCACACACATGCACACACAGCTGCACTGCCTGAATAGCATATTGTTACTGAATGAGGATGAGATGTCATGCTCAGAGGGAGTCACCACACTGTTGCATTATTGGAGAGCAGCCCACGGGGGACAGAATGGCCTTTTTGGTCCCTCCTTCAGGCAACATAGCTCCATGCTATCACGGATGTTCCTTTTTCTCCCAAACTCTATATTCTATCCATTAGAAATTCCTGGGGGCCATGCTACACCATCTCTCTTCCCCATTTCTATGAGTACCACACTAGCTGAACCTCCATTGGATCACTCTGCCCTGTCTCCCAAGAGCAGGGGTTACTGCTATACCCTACAACATTCTGCTTCCTTTCTTGTGTTCTGAAAATCCTTGTGTCTATACATGCCCATGTGGCATGGTTAGCTCTGTCGATTTGACACAATCTAGAATCGCCTGTAAAGAGAGTATCAGCAAGAGACTTGTCTACATCAGGTTGACTAGTGAATGTCTTTGAGTGGTTTCCGCCCCCCCCCCCTTTAATTAGGCTAACTATGGTGCCGAAGCCCATCCCACTGAGGGAGGAATTATTCCCTAGGTCAGTTCTGGGCTGTATAAGAGCAGAGAGAGCTGGCCCAGCAGCACACACACATGCATTCATTTCTCTCTGCTCTTGACTGTGACAAGCAGCTGCTTCAAGTCCCTGCCTTGACCCTCCCTGCCGTGACGGACTGTGACCTGGAGCTGAGAGCTAATGGACCTTCCCTCCACCACGTTGCTCTGTCAGGGTGCGTTGTCCCAGCAGCAGACATGAAACAGGATATGTTTGGGCTGAGCACAGCTCCCTCCTCTGACCTGAGATTTCTAAGCGCATAATCTGATACTTTTAAAAAACTAACATAGCACCACACGTGAACAATCCCGTTAACCTGAGCCCATGTGGAAGTGCAGGGTCCCTAAAGCCCAGCAACCCCTCCAAGCCGGGTTAAACACTAAACAATGCAGTCAAATGCTCTGCTTAAACGTGGGATCCTGTCTCTAAGTCCTCTGATGATGGATATACAGCTATTTCAAACTTAGGGAAAGTTATGAAATCTATCAGGTCTCCAGGATTACAGACAAGGAATGCTAAACCTGTGTGTGTGCTCAGTTATCCATTCATAGTGTAGCGAGACCTCTGGAGACTACAGGCCAAATGATTAACTGGAGTGGCAATCAGGTACAGTCATACATACATACATAAAATTTGAATTGATATGCCTGTATAATTAGAATTTATTGGAGAACATCTTAAGTTTTTCTTTTAAGGAGTATTTAAATGAAGAAAAAAAATCAAAACTAGGCCGAATAAAGGCATATTAAGAAGCTTTGGGTCTGTTTCTTCCCAGTTCTTCAACAAATAGTGTGTGGCTGGCCCCAAATACATAGTAATCTTTTTTGAGCTTAATTTTACATTGTGAGCAGTTTCCAGGTCATTAAAGACTCCTTGTGCACACATGTGGGCACGCGCGCACACACACACGCACACACACACACACACACACACACGCACGCACACGCACGCACGCACACACACACACGCACGCACACACACGCACGCACACACACACACACACACGCACGCACGCACACACACACACGCACACACACACGCACGCACACACACACACGCACACACACACACACGCACACACACACACACACACGCACACACACACACACGCACACACACACACACACACACCATCTGTGCTGGGAGGGCCATTTCTATAGACTTGTGGAGATCAGAGGACAGACTGCAACTTGTCGAGGTTGATTGTCTCCTCCTACCCTGTGGGTCCCAAGGATCAAACTCTGGGAGCCAGACTCGGCACAAAAGCATCTTTACCCACACACCTGTCTCTCAGGCCCTCGTGTATTTTAAATGGCTGCATACTATTCCTTACTTGTCCCCCTCTCCATCCCCTCGCCTTCCCTGGCCTCCATTAATACCTTTGCTCCTTAGATAAGAAACGGTGGCTTTTACCCTGGTCAATAAATTTAGATCTGGAACACTCCTGAGAATATCAAAGTCACAGCCTCATGAATATACAGAGGGTGCGGCTAAGGCAAATCAATATCCCCACGTTGTTGTGTCCCTCTGCCTGGAGATGAGGCCTTTGGGGGTAAAGCGACCTTTGCTGCGTTGCCTCCCGCCACATCATCTTATTTTGCTCTTCTCATCTCTTGGCTCCTTGCCTGGAAGGTGCCCTGAACACAGCAGCCTGACCTTTTGGTTCATGCTAAATAAGTTAAGGATGAAAATAAGGTTGAGATGCTAGCTTAGGCATGTTCCCCAAACACAATTCCTGGGACTGTCTATCTGTCCATCCATTTGTATGCGAAAGCATCCTTTTGTCTTCTAAAGATGGCTGTGGGTTGATCAAGAAATATCTGGGAGCCCGTGGAAGAAAAGAGAAATCAAGAACCTTGTGATAGAGGTGTGGTGTGGTGGTGGTGGTGTCTGTGAGTGAGTGCGTGAGTGTGTGGTGTGTGTGTGTGTGTGTGTGTGTGTGTGTGTGTGTGCATACCAGAGATTGATCTCTCATGTCTTCCTCAATCACTCTCCACCTTATTTTGGAGACAGGGTCTCTCACTGAACCCGAAGCTCCCTGATTTAGCTAGGCTGTCTGGCCAGTGAGCCCCAGAGGGCCTCCCATCCCCACCTCAGTGCTTGGTGATAGGTGCATGTCACTGCACCTGAATTTTTATCTTTACCTTTTCTATGTCCCTGAGGCACAAGGTTTGTTTCTCTAATCTCTGGCTCCAAGGACTTTTAAACTTTTATTTATTTTTATGTGTTTTGACTCCATGTATGTATGTGCACCCCATGTGTGCAGTACCCAAGGAAGCCAGGAGGAGGAGTTAGAGCCTTTGGGACTGGAGTTACAAATAGTTGTGAACTCCTATATGGATGCTGGGAGTCAAACCTGGGTTCTCTGGAAGAGCAGCCAGAGCTCTTAACCACTGAGCCATCTCTCCAGCCCCAGGTGCCTGATGTTTCCATGAGTTCTGTGAATCTGAACTCAGGTCGTCACACTTATAAAGCAAACACTTTGCTCCTGAGCGTCTCTGCAGCCCCGAGGCCCGATCCTTTCAATGAGACTTCTAACACAGGTGAAAATGCCCCCCTGCAGCCACACCACAAGGGGAGCTCGGGAGGTCAACAATGGGTGGACACACAGGCACTCCCCAGTAGCATGGCCTTTTCTACCTCCTTGGCAGCTGAGAACAGGTATTTCTGGCCACACAGGCAGAGCGCTGACCTATTCTGGCTGGCTATCCATATAGCAACAGAGGTAGTTTGAAAATAGCATTCCCCTTTGGAGCAAAACCTTTTGTATTGAGCAGAATCCGGGAGAAGAGGTTAATTGAGGGTTTACTTACGATCTTAGGTTTACAAAGAGGGTCAAGTAGAGGCCTTTGGCAGGAACTGTTTACCTTGAATCTTCAAGTTCTTCACTCTGCAGACTGAGCTGCTGGGGAAGATGGAATTCTGCCCTGGCTCTGTTCTCGTGCCCGAGAATGAGGATGCTTGGCTCAGCTTCAGGGTGTCAGAATCCGTGTGCATGTCTGTCACCCACCGCTCTTATTTCTCCCGACAGGCCCAGGCTCGCTGTAACTCAGTCTTCCTGGCCCTACCTCTTGAGTTGAGTGTTGAGATCATAGATGAACTCTTGAGAACTTTCATATGAGCGAGGACACACGTGACAAGATAGTAACGCGGCTTGTGGAAGTGAGAGTCCACCTCCCGCATGTGAAGCTCTGGGTTTGGTTCCCAGCACCACATAACCAAGCATGCAATTCTGGCACCAGGGAGGTAGAGGTGGGAGGATCAGCAGTCCAAGGCTATCTTCCACTGCAGATGAGTTCCAGGCCAGCCTGGGCTACTACATGAGACACTCCCTCTCCAAAAGAATAAAAAATAAAATCTGACTGAGAGCCACCAAACACATGAAACCAGTCATTGTGTTGTGAATGATAACATGGAGCTGATTAAGAGTCTGGGTGACCATCGGGATCTCAGACTAGAAGGAAAACAGATGTGACAATTGTGAATCACAGTGGGAGAAGGCATGCTGCCCGTGTTTTCACTTGTTCATCCAGGCAGCCATCTCTCCATCCGTTCATCTATTCATTTGTCCATACCCCATCCATCTATCCATCCATCCATCCATCCATCCATCCACACACCCATCCATCCATCCTTCTATATCCATCCATCCATCCATCCATCCATCCACCCATCCATTCATCCATCCTTCTATCCCCATTCACCCATCTATTCATTTGTCCATACCCCATCCATCCATCCATCCATCCATCCATCCATCCATCTTTCTATCCCCAATCCATCCATCCACCCACCCACCCATCCATCTTCCTATCTCCCATCCATCTATCCATCCATCTTTTTATCCCATCCATCCATCTATCCATCCATCCATCCATCCATCTTTCTGTCCCCCATCCATCTACCCACCCGCCCATCCATCTGTCTATCTTTCCATCATCCATCCATCCATCCATACATACATACACCCATCCATTCATCAACCAATCCACCCATCCACGTACCAACCCATTTCCTCATTCAACCATCCACCTATTCATCCACTCATCCATCTGCTCATCTATTCATCCAACCATCTATCCACCCACCTACCCATCCATTCATCCATTCAGCAAACATCAGTTGTATGTTTCATGTCAGGTCCCATGATCCCATCATAAACCCTGGCTTCTTCATGGGCCATCACCCTTGCTATCATGGTGTGTACAGCCTGGTGAGCAGTATGGACAGTGAACAAGCATTAGCCCAGGTCGCCTCTGATTTGCATTGCTGGTAGAAGCATGCGAAGAGGTAAGGAGCTGTATGATTGTGACATCAGAGAACATGAGCTTAAAGAAGTCCTCAAATAGAATTCCTCCCCCGCGTTTCATCTTTCTGCCTGATGTAACTATTCCTTCCTTCTCCAGGTTCTGCACTTTGACCTCCTGGGCGGCTTCTATTCTGGCTGTCCACTTCTGCAGTACAAGCTACTGCTTCAACAAAGCTAAGGGAGGAGGTGCGAACACCCTATTTTAGATATGCCTGTCACAAAGTGGTTGTATGGCCCTGATTCTTCAGACACACCCTGTCCCATGATGCTCTGGGGCCCCTCCATACCCATTTCCTCCCATCACCTTACTCTCCCAGGAAGCGGGCCCACTGCTTCTGGAGGCAGAACACTAGAGCTTAGATCCCACCAGCTCCATCTCACGACCATGTCTCTACCTCTGTGTGGTGTGCCATCAGCATCAGCACCAAGCACACAGGGTGTTGTGATGCTTCAGCAGACCGTCCTCACACATGTATTATCCTCCTCTGCAGACACACGGCGTGAAGGTGCTTGTGCTCTATTTTATGTGGCATTTAATGTCACACTCTTGCTGCTCACACTTCCAAATGGGACAAAGCCATTCAAAGGACCTATTAGAACATAGACAGCTGGACCCTTCCAGAAGGCCTGACTGTATTGGTCTAGAGCTGAGCTTGGGAATCAGATTTCTAGCAAGTTCCCTGAGGATGCTGCTACATCAACTAGTTGGATTTGATTGGCAGAGAAGTGGAAACCAACACCAATGTGCCCACTGTGTTAGGAAACTTGATCACAGTACAGCCATGTGGTCTCATTAGTGTGTATGTGTGTCTGCATTTTGTGCGTGCACATGAGTATGTATGCAGGCACACATGTGCCACAGCAAATGGGTGGAGGTCACAGGACAGCTTGCTGGAGTGGGTTCTCTCTGTCAAGTGGGTTCCAGAGATCACATTTCTGTCATCAGGATTGGCAGAAAGCACTTCAGTGACCCATCTTCTGGCCCAATACCTGGTTTTCACATGTATTTGGGGGATTGAATCTGGCACTTCATGTTTGCAAGGCAAGCTCTGTATGGACTGAGCCATCTTTCTAGCCACTCCTCTGCCCTTTTAACAGATGAAATTACCCATGCTCAGGGAAATTGTGTGGCTCCTCTGAGGTAATGCGGCTCATGGCAGAGCCTGGTCTTGAACTCAGACCTCTGAGAGGGTGTTTCCAGGATCTACTTTCACTTTGGGGATGGAAACAGTCCCAGCAGGAGGAGGCCATCGGGAATGACAAGAAAGAGACCTGCCCGTGTGTGATGTTAACTAGAAATAACAGAGACACATGCCAGGAGGCCCCAGGGGGACTCCTCTGACAGCAGTCAGGACAGTACCCAGGCCACAGCCTCCTGCGGTGTCTCTCTAGGGCTACCACGAGAGGCTCAGATGTCACATGGGGCAGCTTCCAGTGGGGGAGATACCCAACTGTGCTGCCAGGAGGTCAGCTGTTGCCAATTTGTAAAAGCCACTGCCCACCTGAAGGGACCACTCAGTCACGCATGCTTGATGCAGGCTCCCATTTTGATAAACAAGACTCACACATAAGAGGGGTCAAGAGCACCCCCTCCCCAAGTCTAGTTCCAGTTCCTGGCAGTGAGTGGAGAAGGCAGGAATGGGGAGTTGGTTAGGTGTGTAGTTGGGCTCCAATATTCCCTGCCTTTCTTCCATTGGTAGAGCTAGGGTGCACTGGCCTGGGCCATGGTGAGTTGTGGTCACATGGAGAAAACTGGGGCATGCGTAGACCTCAGCCTCTGCAAGTTCTTATCCCACTCGCCAGTTCTAAAGCATCCTGGGCCCTGATGCCAGGAGCCACCCACCGTTGCTGGTTTGTAGGAAACCCCCTGTGCGATCTGGGCCTCTCTTCTTTCCCTCTCCCTTTCCCCCAAAGCCTTCCTCTGCAGGGTGGAGACAGAATGTGTGGAGAGCCAGTTCTGGAGAAGGGTGAGACCCTCTCTTCTTCCCTGAGTGCTGCTCAGCCACAAATAAAACATCTATATCACACACACACACACACACACACACTCATACACATGCACACGACTCAGCAACCATCAAGGAAGAGGGATCAGAAAGACTAACGAGCCAGAGGATGGGGAGGGCCAACACAAAACAGTGTATAAGGTTAAGCCAGTCAACAATCCAACAGGAAGGGAGGATGGGGCTCATGGACTGGGAGCTATTGATGAATAACAGCTTCTAGGGGAGAGAGAGTCAATATTATTTAGGATGCGGTCCCTAGTAGGTCAACCATGCTCTAGTGTCAAGGTTTCACCAGTGGATAGGCCCTCACCTGTGAATACAGGGGGAGCACAAACTGAACTCAGTAAGAAACAATAAAGAGAGGGCATGACGATGGGAGGGATGGTGACCAAAATACACGGTCTACATAGATGACATTCTCAAAGACTTAATAACAGTGCGACATAAATCTCAGACCACTTGGCTATCAGTTGAGCAGAGACCACAATGGCTTTTGTTCACTGATACATCGGGCCAAAGGTCAAGAACACAGAGAAGAAATGAGCATGCTCAACAGTGGGGGTTGGCTAACACCAGTTTTTTGTTTTTGTTTTGGTGTGTGTGTGTGTGTGTGTGTGTGTGTGTGTGTGTGTGTGTGATATTCCAGACAAGATGAAATTTGGAAAAGGGTGTTTTCCTCATGAAAAATCGAGAGTCTCCTGGCCCCTGTGAGTGGCCCCTCCTCCTCCCTCAGCAAAGATGATGGAGGAGAGCAAGTTTCATCCCACAGAAGGGCATCCGCCTGTCTCCCACATGGAGACGGGATTGAAATAGCTTTTTCAGATCTTCCAGTTAAGCTGTCACCTGTGTCCCCCCACCCAGATCTCCAAGGAGCCCCTCCCCCCCAGCAGCAGTTATCTGGGCTCTGGAAGAACAGCTCTATCTCAGCCGTCTGCAGCTGTCTCTGTCACAATAGAGAGGCGCAGGGCCCTGAAGACAGCACACAGCTTGGGAGAGACAGGCTGAAGTGTGCAGGGTGCAGGTGGGGTGGGGAGACTGCTGCGAAGCCCTGCTGGGGCCATCCTTCACGTGGTCAGCCCTGTCTGGGGACCTATGGGGTCCGGGGCATGTTAAGGACGCAGCTGTTGTGGGGCTGGGGACGAGAGTGATCACGAGATGACATAGCTTAGAAAAGCTTCACTTTGAGGTAGGAAGGTAAATGCCACTTCTGGGCCAGCACCGCTCCCTGGACTGGGAACGAGATAATGAATTATTACCCAAGGAAATGAAACCTCTAATAAATTCCAAAGCAAAGCTGGGGGAGGCTAAACTCCATTTTTACGAAGGAGCTTGTGATTTATAAAGTGTCCATTCCCTGGGTCTCCTGGGGCTCCATCAACTCTCGCTGTCCCTCCCTGTCTCCCCTGAAGGGAGGCCTCTGCCCTTTCTGAACATACAACCCCCCAAATTCAAAGCCCCCAACTGCCTCTTCCCTCTGATTCTCCTTTTACTCTCCCCCGTGTGAGCTACTCTCACCCCAGTGGGAATTTAAAACCTGAACACAGCTGAAATTTGGGCCAATTGGTTTCGAGAGCTCAGTCCCCAAGGATTGGCCACTAGGAAATCTGTCTTCCTTAGGAGTCCATTCCGACCTTTGAGCCAACAAATTACGAGTTGAACCAGCTCAGAATAGGCAATCAGGCTCCGGGGTACAGTGCCGGCTCTGGGCGGGTTGTGGCTCAGGCAGGGGCCGCTAATCCACTTTGAGTCTCAGTCCCAGCCTTTTCCCTGTTTGGGGAAGCTGGCTGGCTACGTTTTCCTCCCGTGTGTCACCTTTTAATACCTTTCAAGCTCCTTTCTGCAAACACTGGCCCCTCCATCTCTTCCTTGCCCAAAGCCATCAGACCCCTGCTGTCTGACCTCATTGCCCGTTTCCGCGGCGACCGGACTCGTGATGTCATAGGCGTAGGCCTGTGAGTCTTCAGGTGGGGGGTACCAGAGCAGCAGGTGCCCAGGAAGACAGAGAAACAAAGACCTTGTTTTCATGCCAGCAGGCTCAGAAAAGTGGAAAATTGGGGGTGGTGTGTGGGGATAGAAACGGAGTCTGGATGGGTCCAAGGTCATTCCGGAAGCAGGTTGAGTTAACATTGCTGAGCGCCGCTTTCCCAAACGCCTATGCAACCTCCACGTTTCTGTTTGAAGAGCTATAATTTAGAAAGCCGCTCAGTCCTGATGGGAAGGATACCAAATGGTTCTAGGACCCAGTTTTTCCCGTGATACTCAACATGTCAACCACCTCCTTACAGGAGTATCCCCGAAACCCCCAAGCCCTCGATGTCTGACGTCATCACCCTTTCTTCACCTGTAGGTGGACCCAGTCATACCCCCAGATCTAGAAAAAAAAAAAAAGGCTCCTTGGAGGGGGGGGGGTTGACAAAATGCCACCTGAGTTCCGTGGGAAGCCCTAATGCCAAGTGACTTTCAGGATGGGGCTCAGCTGGGACTCAAGGCTGGGCTTTCAAGGAAGATGGAACACCTCCCACAGTGTGGGTCCACTAGGTGATGCCTGGTGCTTTTTTTTTTTTTTAAAATATCAGGTGCCAAGAGGAAAACACAGTTTCCATTTAGAAACAAAGGCGCTGGCAGGCCTTCCCCAGTGTGCAAACCCCACTGCACTGAGTTTCTGGTAATTTACCGGAAGCCTGAATTATTTAGATAGATTGATCTCACGTGGACTTCAGGTGTCCCAATTACCTGGGTGATTTGCATGTTTACGAGTGAGGGGGATTGAACGCTAGCTCAAAGCAAATTCCAAAGTCAGACTTGGGAATGCAAGTCCTGGGGTCCTGGCCCCTGCCCCTTTCTACCCCACCTGCAGTGAGCAGGCCAGGAACCCAGCTCCTAACCAGAGCAGGGGGCATCACCGGCACTGGGCCAGCCTCAGTTTCTCCTTCTAGCCATCCTCGCAAAGCAAAGGTAAGGACGGCTC